CCCCGTAAAGATACCAATGTTAGGCCTGTGCTTAATCTGATCTCGCCCTTGCCCGAGGCGCTGCCATACGGCTCACCGCCCCGCTTGAGCACCCAAAGGTCCATGTCCCGGACAGACAACATCTTGTCCCTCTTGTTACCAAACTTGTGCGTTGCTTCGGTGCTTCGAGTGTGAATTCGGGAGTCTCGGCTGTATGCCATGTCCTTGGCTTGCCTTTGCCCCTGCGCGCCACTCTTCTACTCCAAGCACTTCTACCCCAGTCCCCAAAACACGTACTTTGCTAAAAGCTGAGCCTTCCAAGTCTCCATTCTTACCAAGTCCCTGCACCATGCCCGCGCCTTCCTGGCATAAGTCTGGGTTATGCCTTGTGAAAATCGATGAGGTTCTCCTAACAAGCACCACCAACTCGAGATAAAGTTAAGGCAGCGACCTTAACCTGGGGGCCATTCTGCCTGCCTGGATCTTGAAACTGTACACAAAACAGAGCGCCTCTCTGCAGTATTCTGGGGGTGAGGGGATAGCCCAAGCTTTCATCAGATCTCCCAAGAAACTAGGATGAGGTGGACCAGCACAGGGTCTGGCAGGGTAGGTAACTTGCACTCCTGAAACATTGGTAGATTTGTCGGATGGAGATCACTTCTTAACTGACCCTGGGGCTAAAAATTAACACCCCGTGTGCCCAGCCCTTCCCCCATGCTCCTGGCCCCGCTGCCGCTGCCATGGGATGCCCTCCTGGGAGTCAAAGCCAGCACAGAGATGTCTGAGAAATCCCTTCCGCGATGGGTTCCGGGGATCCCTGCCTGCCTGCCTGAGAACTAAACCTGGGCTGGAGCCTGAGGTGCTGGGGCTGATGAGGCTTAGAGGCCTTGCCGCTAGGCAGGAAGGACAGGGGAAAGTAGGAGGCAGGAATAGTGGGCTCCAGGAAAGGAGAAACTAGGTGGTTGGGGAGCTAGGTCGCCCTAGAAGACAGTTCTCTTCTGGGAAGCTGAGCTGACCGCTGGGATTCTGGATTTGTTTCGTTATTAAGGGGATGGTCATCTCTGAGAGGAGGCTGATAGCGACTGACGCCCCCTGCAGTTGTGTGTGTGTATAACCTACACTACTACCATAGGAGGTGGCCACCCACAACCCCACAACTGCCCAGCGTTCCTAGGGTACAGGGCACTACTGGGGCATGACCGGCCCTGTAAGTCAAGCCAAACAGAACCCCCAAATTACCCAGAATCTCCCCCTCCTGCCATTACCCAAGAGCAAACTTTCTCCCCGGTGCTTCTCTTCTTATACAAAGTCTTCCCTTGCATAAAAAAGTCTTTAAGACTCCTGGAAGTGACTTCCCCCCCCCTCCCCTAGCTCCCCACCCAATCCTTCACTCCTGCATTCCGTTTTCCGTGCCAAGGAACATTTCTTCAACCCCCAGATCCACCCAACCTGGCCCAGACTCCATATCTAGAGAAGAATTAGGTCCTTTCTTGTATATGCGCCTCAGTGGGGGTTTCAGGCTAGTACCGTGGAGAAATCTCAGGCTACAGGAGCAATAGGAGAGCCTTCCAAATGCTTCGCGGCCCCTTTAAAAAGCTGAACAGGATTTTTTTTTTTTTTTTTTTTTTTTTTTTTTTTTTTTTTTTTTTTTTTTTTTTTTTTTTTTTTTTTTAGCCCTATGACTATATTAGGTGACACGAAACTGCTCATCGCTCCTGTCATCGGAGCCCCCGGCCCAATGGCAGCCTGAGTCCCCCTCCTCTGGCCTGGTCCCGCCTCTCCTGCCCCTTGTGCTCCGCACTACCTGCCGCCTGGCCACAACCCGAGCAGGGAGGCGGGTGCGCGGGCGGGTGACGGGCACCATGCAGGGAGGCTGCCAAAGGCCGTGGGCAGCGCTGCTCTCTGCCGCCCACCTGGCGCTGTGAGACGCGCGCTGCCACCATGTTCCCCAGCCCTGCGCTCACGCCCACGCCGTTCTCGGTCAAAGACATCCTGAACCTGGAGCAGCAGCAGCGCAGTCTGGCTGCCGGGGAGCTCTCCGCGCGCCTGGAGGCCACCCTGGCGCCCGCCTCCTGCATGCTGGCCGCCTTCAAGCCCGAGGCCTACGCGGGGCCGGAGGCCGCGGCGCCCGCCCTCCCGGAGCTGCGCGCCGAGCTGGGCCCCGCGCCCTCGCCCGCCAAGTGTGCGCCTGCTTTCCCGGGAGCCCCCGCCTTCTATCCGCGTGCCTATGGCGACCCCGACCCTGCCAAGGATCCTCGAACAGATAAGAAAGGTGAGAAGGAAACACAAGCCCCTGCTCCCTCCTGGGGTCGCTTTTGTGTCCCCAGCCGCCGCCTAGAAACTCTGGCCTGGGTGGAGGAGACGCGAGTGCTTGGGCGGAGGGCCGAACGCAGGGGGTTCTGATCCTGAGAGACAAGGTCGTCGCCAGGGCCCCTGAGCCCCGCATCCAATCGGAGGTTTAAAAGAAATGCTGGATTGAGATGATCAGAAACAAGAGACAAAAGAAATATTTATTTATTTATTTATTTATTTGCTTGCTTATTTATTTATTTATTTATTTATTTATTTATTTATTT